AATCGAAAAAATAGGTCATAGATGCCGTTAAAATATAGTCAAAACAACTTATTTTAAACATAGCAAAAACAAAAGGTGATTTTACAAACTCCTAAAAGACTGATTATAAGCCAAAAAAAAAAGAAGCTCAAAATCTATTTTTAAAAGCTCTAGCAAACACCACCTTAATCACAAAGGGCAAATTGGCTAAGAAATGAATCAATAATAATATGTTTGCATTTTGATATATCCCATCGGTTAAGCCCAATGGGCCCAACTTTTCAAAAAAATAATAAAGCCCAATAGGCCGAAAAAATATTAAATTTATTATATAAAGAATTATTATATAATTAATTTTAAAATTATATATATATATACTAAATTTATTTGTTCTCTGAAAAGCACCGCCCTTCTTCTGATAAGGCCCTCCCTTGAACCCCAGAAACCAACGCCAAAAACCCACACACACACACATACACAGAGTGCAGAGGTGGAGCATTCAACAATGGCGTACAATCTGAGCGCGTCGCCGTCAACTTCTCTATCTCACGAAACCCATCTCTTCTGCAACTCTCTCTCTCCTCCAAATCTCCATCAACTCAGAACCCATAAAAATCTCTTCTTTCCTCTCAAAATCCACCCCGGAAACCCCAATCTCCGCGTCTCCTCCAGAGTTTCATTACAAGAACTACCCGCCGCGAACACAGCCTCCCAAAATTCCGGAACCCCAATTGAAGAAAAACCCATTTCGAAATCCACCGCTTGGGTCAACCCCAAAAGCCCACGCGCCTCCAAATTGAGGCAGAAATCGCACGATTACAGGCACGCCTCGTTATTGAAGCTGGCCGAATCTTTAGATTCCTGCGCCCCCGTCGAAGAGGATGTTTCGAGCGTGTTGAATATTCTCGGAGGTGGTGTATTGGAACAGGACGCAGTGATTGTTCTGAACGGAATGTCGAATACCGAAACTGCCCCTCTGGTGCTCGATTATTTTCGGAAGAGGCTGAAGGTGAAGAGAGAAGTTGTGCTGTACAATGTGACCATGAAAGTATTTCGAAAGTGCAAAGATTTAATCGGGGCGGAGAATTTGTTCACTAAGATGCTCGAAAAGGGGGTTAAGCCCGATAACGTAACTTTCTCGACGCTGATTAGCTGCGCTAGGCAGTGCTCGTTGCCCGAGAAGGCGGTCGAGTGGTTCGAGAAGATGCCGTCGTTCGGGTGCGAGGCGGATAAGGTGACTTGTTCGGTGATGGTGGATGCGTACGGTAGAGTTGGCAATGTGGAACTTGCGTTGAGTTTGTACGATCGCGCAAGGAGCGAGAAGTGGCGGCTCGACGCGGTAACTTTTTCGACGTTGATTAGGATTTATGGGTCGTTGGGGAATTTCGATGGGTGCTTGAATTTGTACGAAGAGATGAAGGCGTTAGGTGTTCGACCAAATGCCTCCGTGTACAACTCTTTGTTGGATGGTATGGGGAGAGCTAAACGACCGTGGCAAGCGAAGAATATTTATCGTGACATGGTGAAAAACGGGGTCGAGCCCACTTGGGGCACTTACGCAGCGTTGCTTAGGGCGTATGCTAGGGCCCGATACGGAGAAGATGCGCTCGCGGTGTATAGAGAGATGAAGGAGAAGAAATTGGAGTTGAGTGTTGTGCTGTACAACACTCTCTTGTCCACGTGTGCTGACGTGGGATTGGCTGATGAGGCTGTCGAGATTTTCGAGGATATGAAGAGTTCGGGTACGTGTATGCCCGACAGCTGGACGTTTGCGTCGTTGATTACGATATATTCTTGCAGTGGGAAAGTCGAAGAGGCCGAGGCGATGTTGGATGAAATGGTGGGGTCCGGTTTCGAGCCTAATCTCTTCGTCTTAACGTCGTTGATACAGTGTTATGGAAAATCAGGCCGGACGGATGATGTTGTAAGGACTTTCGATCGGATGTTGGAGCTGAATATAAAGCCGGACGATCGGTTCTTCGGTTGTTTACTTAATGTAATAACACAAGCACCGATCGAAGATTTGGGCAAGTTAACCGATTGCATCGAGAGAGCCAATCCGAAGTTAGGCCACGTCGTGCAGCTTCTTGTCAACGGAGACGAAAAAAAAGCCGAAGGTGAAATCTTGAAAAAGGAAGCCGGCGAGCTTTTCGGGTCGATTAGCGTCGATGTGAAAAAGGCATACTGCAATTGCTTGATTGATCTGTGTGTTAATTTAAATCAGTTGGGTAGGGCTTGTGAGTTGTTGGAGCTAGGGTTAGGGTTGGAGATATACACCGACATTATGTCGAAAACCCCGATGCAGTGGTCTTTGCATTTGAAGAGCCTCTCGTTGGGGGCTGCGTTGACCGCGCTGCATATATGGATGAACGATTTGTCGAGGGCGATTGAAAACGGGGAGGAGTTGCCTTCTTTGCTCGGGATTAACACGGGGCACGGGAAACATAAATTTTCGGAAAAGGGCTTAGCTGGCGTTTTCGAGGATCATTTGAAGGAGCTGAACGCTCCTTTCCACGAGGCCCCGGAGAAGATCGGGTGGTTTTTGACTACTAAAGTTGCTGCCACATCGTGGCTCGAGTCGAGGCGTTTGACTGATGTGGCTGCTTGATCGATACTCCGATTTTTTGGGGTAAGTGTTTTTTTTTTTTTTATTGAATTTTGTTGAATCTGCTGATAAGAGGAATTTTTGTTTTATTCTTGTTTTGTTAGTTGAGTGTGGGCTTTAGGCGATTATATATCGAACAACTCTCGTTTGTTATTGTCATGTTTGTATCGTTGCTGTTCGATGAAGTGTGTTTTAGTGAGATCGTTGTCTTTAAATTCGAAAGATGTGTATTTATGATTATCGAATACGGAGACTAAAAATTATCTGGTTTGTTTATATGCAATAATCTGTAATTAGTATCGACCTCTGTCGAGTGTCGACCCTAACGATTTTTTTAAGGTTTCATTAACAGAACCTTAAACCAAAGTCATAGGTTTCTTGTTTTCGATTCGCAATAGGGGAATACTATTAAAAAGGTTGTATTGCAAGCAACCTATAAGCCAATGCAGGAAATGAAAATGACCGTATTACCCTTCGAGTGTTTACGTTCATAATTGCCACAAAGGGACGATGAAGTAATTTTACAGAGAGAAGGGGTGACACCGTAAGATTGGAATAACCAATTAGCTGAGGAAAGAAAGAACGGTGTATCTGTTAAGCAAAGAATCTGTGTAAATTAGGCTATCATATCGAAAATCGAAAATAAAAAGCCCGTAAAATCCCGTTTCGATTAGGCTATCATATCGGAAATCGAAAATAAAAAGCCCGTAAAATCCCGTTTCGAAAAGAACGTGCATTTCAAAATGGAAATCTATTCCGTGTTTTTGCAGCACAGATTCTTCTTATCTGCAGCAGTAGCCTTGTTGTTAAGCCTGGCATGTTTATTGACCATTATGCCCCCGGTAATTAGCGTCCTCTATTATTTCTGGCCTCTTTTCGTCTCCACAGCTATAGCTTTGGTGGCTATAATTGTAATTGGCCAAATATCGCCTATACCTCGAGAATTCTCCGATGAAAGACAAGGAGAAGCGCTGTTGGATTACGTTGCGGGAAAACAAGAGTCGCTCGAAAATTACTAGTAGTGATTCCGATTTGAAGATGATTAACTAGACTCGATAATTACGTTGTATTATCTTTTATCTTTTTTTTTATTCGACGTGTACTTTTTTTAATAAAGAAATTTCGGAATTGTAAAAAACTAACGAAGCTTCGAAATTTAATAATATATATATGTTATGTGCATGACTGTTACGTATTTCCTCATTTTCCGAATATAGATCTTCATCTTCTTCTTCTTTGTATTGAACTGTAACACTAAATGTAGTACCTGCATATTGAATGGATGTTGCATTTTCTTGAACTACGAAACCATCTTCACTCTTGACGAGTGTTGCGTAGTGATCCGAACCCGAGTGGGTCCCGGTGAGTTTCGTGTTGTTCCTGGCCAGAATGATGGGGATTCCATTGCAGTCCATTGCAGACCAAGAACACGAACTTCCTATCCAGAATCTGATCAAGAATCGGCAAAATCGAAGTCGAAATTTTAGGAAATCGTCAAGTGTGAACGACTGAAAAAATGTACCTCGATAAATTAATAACATTGTTTAGATAATAATTTCTTACGGTCCGGACTCGGTAAAGACGTACTAAATTATTAGCTCGATAATTCAATATTTGGCAAAATTAATAGAATTTTGTCGGTCCCGACTATATTAATTTATGGAGGTTTAACAGTATATGGTGAAATAATTAGGCTAGGCTTGTTCTTTTATAAGGCCCAATGTATATATATATTTTTTTGAAATTGAATTATTGAAATAAATATAAATGTGCTCTTGTGGGGATTGTTTTATTTACATACTAAAATTTACATAAATTAATTAAAATAAATAATTAAAAAAAAAAAAAAAAACGAGGTGGTCGGAAGAAAAAAGACAAAACAAAAACCTGTGCAGAGTGCAAACAAATCCCACGAAACATTTGTGGTACATTACAGTAATGCTATTTTGCCTTTGCTAACACCACCTTCTCTCCTCTCTCTCTCTCTCTCTCTCTCTAGAGCTTTCTCTCTCTTCTCTCTTTCTCAAATGTTCTTGTTTTTTGTTAAACCCATTCTCCACCTTCATAAACCCTTTTGCCGCCATAGTTGTCACAATAAATTATCTGCTCTAAAACTGAACGCATGCTTTGAATTTTTCCGGGGTTACTTTTTTTATTATTTCTCTGGGTTTATTTTATCTCCGAGTTTGGTTCTTTGTCCTGAAGCTGTTTCTGCATTTTAAGGTTTGTGGGATTTTTTTTAATTTTTTTTAATTTTTTAAATTTTTTATTTTTATTTTGCTTGTCATGTAATTCTTGGTTGCGGCATGTTCATTTTCAGACACCGTGTGTGTGTGTGTGTAATGGTTTTCGATTTTACGAAAATAAAATCAATTTTTCAGACCAGTAATTAAAGAAATTTAAGCTTCTCTATTTATTTATTTATTGATTCTTGTTTGCCATGTTTATTAGAAACTAGAAATTATCCTACAATTTTTCGCAGAATTTCGATTTTTTTTTTTTTTAACAACCGTAATTGGAATTGCTTATTTCCTGAAAAGGGTTTTTCATTATGCTATTACTTGTTCAGAATGTCTGAAAATCAGGTTCTGAAAGCATGGGAAGAGCGAGTAATTTCGTCGGAGAAGGGGAATCGGATTATTCACTATATACTAAAAGATTCCACCGGAGATTCTCTTCTTGCGGTGGTGGGGAAAGAGAGGAGTATTAACCACATGTGTTATACAGTTTCAGAGGAATTCTTACATGCAATGGGGCCCACAAGCACCGCCCACTCATCGACAAAGTGGCGGTCAAGGCGAGATGTTGTTGAGTGGCTCGTTTCGCTAGTCTCGGAAAACGGACCGATCTTTGCTAACTCGAGTACGTATAATTATTGCCCGTTTAGCTTAAATATTTGCATGTTTACAATTTATTCAAGATTGTGGTAATGAATCTTGATCAGTAATTCGATTATGTTGTTTTTGAAGAAATGATACGTATTTCGAGGGTAAAATTATCGAATGAATTCGAAAGGGGGAAGAAATGTAGCTGTTTTATTTAGTTTAGTACCTATTTTAACTCGACTTCGTCGATCTTATTTTTTCCCATTTGGATTATGTTTTACGTTTGAAATTTGTTCTTCTCGTTCGATTTGTTAACCGATTTATCTGTCCTCTAAAAAAAAGCAGCCAATCCTTCGACTCTTAAACGCCAAATCATACAGAAAAGCAAGAAGAATCGACAGACTACAACTCCCGAAGAACTTCCGAAGCGAGCTTTCAAGAAAATCAAACTCTGCATGCTATTAAATCACACGCTCGAAAACACTACTAGCCTTGCGGGTCCCACAAAATCGGACCCAACTAATCATAAGAAATTGTTGAAAATGAAACCACCCGAGCCACAAACACTGTCCGAATTCAACACGAATATCGAGCTTCTCAGTCAAGACAAAGGCATGCAAGGCTGCTGGTTCAGATGCAAGATACTCCGTTCATCGCAAACTCGTGTTATGGTTCAGTACACGGATGTCTCGAAAGTTGGCGAACCCGGAAAACTAGAGGTATATATACATATACAGAAGATGCATACGCATATACATACACGTGTATTGATCGACTTGTCTAAATTGTGTAGGAATGGGTCCCGGCGTACAGGGTGGCGAATCCGGATAAACTTGGAGTGAGATGTGGGACCCGCCTTACGATTAGGCCTCGGCCTTGTAAGGAATCTTGTGAAGAAACTAGGTTTGTTGTCGGAGATGCGGTTGATGCATGGTGGTGCAATGGGTGGTGGGAAGGTGTCGTAATTGGTTACGACTCACTTGCTAAACGTAATCTTCAAGTTTACTTCCCCGGTAAGTCTTTGATTAGTCGTGATTAATTTAATTATTGGACCTTACCAACCAAACGAGGCCTTACAAAATACCGAGGATTTGATAATGCGGTGATCATTTTACGGCAGGTGAGAACAGGTTTTTGACAGTTGAGAGAAAGAACACTCGAGTTTCAAAAGATTGGATCGATAGCCAATGGGTGAATATAAAGGCGAAGTCCAATATACTCTCGTTCCTATCTTCGATTTTCAGCACGAAACTACTTCCTCCACTCCCCGTTTTGGCTGATGCTGCCAGCTGTGCACCTGGCAATAGCAAAATTCTCAAACCCGAGCAACTTCAAGTGAATGAAGATGATAAATCTGTAGAGGGACTTAATTTCAAGAAACGGTTTATAAGTAGATATAATGAAAGTATATCTCGTGCTTCTGGTTAAGCGAGAACAACGAAATTCCCCTTTTTTTTTTGCTGGCAGCTTAAAATTGTGAAGCAGTTGGTATAGTTGAAACTGCTTTAGTAAGCCTAAGTATTATTTATAGCAGTGTACATATTTTGGCTGTGTATAAATTTCTCATCAATTATTCTGTAATACCAATCCAGCTGAATTTACAAAAAAAAAAAAAAAATCGAAAGAATTACAACCGTTTGATCTATAGAAGTACTCAAATCAAGAAAAACTTCAGTAAGAATGGTGAATGAATTTTCAGATAAAGCTCATATCAGCCTAAAGATTGCCATGAATACTCGACTAGAAGAGCCTAATTCCGAGATTAAAAAAAAATTGAAAAAATGGTAGCCGATAAAATTCTCAAATCGAACAATTGCAGAAAAAAACCCGAATTTGATGGCCGATATATTTACATCATGGCTGAACAATCCCCTTCTTCATAAGAATATTGTAAACTTTGTCGATCTTGAGTGGGTCGATTCGAAAGAATGCATAGGCATCAGATTTCGTCTTTATTTTGCCGCTCAGAATTAGTATCGACATTCGCTCCTGCATTTTCAGATACTGTTTTGGAACTAATCCCATTTCTTGGCAAAGCTTCATCTCCTGCCAACACACAATCACAGTACATATATAAAAATATTGCACCATATGGGGTGTTTTTGCGAATATTAATAATAAGAGACCCTTCTTAGCAATTAGCTATAATACAGGGGACTAAATGCAATAAACTCCAATATATTCGGAAAAAAAACTGCACACACTTACAGATTCAGACAGTAAATTGGCAGCAGAAACAGAGGCAGAATCGAGGTCAGTTGACGAGTTGCCTTGGCCAGCAGATGTTGTAGTTGAGTAAGTACCGAACGAATCGGAAGATACCGGAATATTCCGGCTCTCCTGGCTGCTCTGCCCCGCCTGAGAACTCTCTTTCCGGCGAGCATTATCCTCCGCTTCTCTCCTCCTCTGTTCAAAATATCTATCCGCTTCAGCCGATGTACGACACCCCACAGCTCGTGCCACCTACAATAAAATATTCAATTTAAATTAATTTCCAAGAAAAATAAATAAAGTTACAATATTATTTTTGCAGTATACCCTACCTTGAGTTCAACCATTCGTCTTTTAATCCTATGTGCTGAAATCACACTTTTTATTAGTTCTTCGTGCTCCTCTTTCGTATGCAAACGCATCAAGGGGTCGTATTTTCGGACTATCTCCTTCTCCTCTTGACTCAGTTCCCCAAACGGACTTGGATCTAGAAGATTCCTTTCCACAATAAAATCCTTCCTCCTTTTCCTCTCGTCCAGCCTGTCAAATCGCATTTAAAACATATTTTACGACGAAGACATATGGAATACGGTTATTAAAAAAATAAAAAAATAAAAAATACCTCTTTGAATATATACGGAGCACTCTGATTTTCAACTCACGCTCGACTTCTGTATCGTTTTCTTTAAATTCCATGTCAGCTAGTAATTGTTCTGCATCATTATCGTATTCGACATCGAATTCTTGTCTTTTAGGGTTGTAACCAATTGCATCCATTAAAGATGGGGCTTTTGCCTTTGTCGATTTAGGTTTGTTTCCACCAAAACTCCGCCCTGATATATGATGTACCGATAATACATTAAAGCTTAAAGTGACAGAAAAAAAAAATTAAATTAAAATAAATAATAGTTTCCACCAGAAATTTACCCACCCTCGGTTTTCGGATTTTCTCCCTGATCTTTCGCGTGGGACATGTTGGATGCCTTCTTATTAACTTTGGCTCCTGCAATTTTTTAATTTTTATTTTAGTTTAGAATCATTCGAGAATATCGTTTCAATAATTAGAACATAATTGTGATTACCGGCACTGGAGGCGGCTGAAGGCAAACGGCCTGACGAACCGCTTTTGTACGAATCTTCAACCCTAAGAAAAATAAAAAGAGTACGAGTTTAAAAGGTGTTTTCGAGATAGTGTTACACAATATTTGTACATAAACAGTTACTGTACTTGACTCGTGACGGGGAAAACGGGGTTTCCTCTTCTAGTTTCAATTCCCCTGCAAAGGAAGGCAGTTAGGGTCGACTTTTTTCAGATAATACGGTAAATAAATCCCTAAATCTAAAAATTCAGTCAAAAAACAAAAAAAATAAAAAAATAAAGCAGAACGAACCTATTTTGTCCTGAAGATTCCCTTTACCCATTGCAAGGAGTTCGTTTCGATTTTTTCCATCAACATGTGACATATCCTGACAAAGGAAATGCATTTTATCATTTTACGATAAAAAAAATAAAAAAATTATTACAACCTTACAAAAATGCATACCGGTAGAGGAAAGTAAGGAGAATTAAGGTAAGCATTCCGATAATGTTCGATACACATTTCCTTTGTCTTGGTTCCGACATGCTCAGCAACTTCTGCCCAATTTCCCATTCCATACATTTCAAGTCCCTGCTCGAGTGGTATAAGTGAGGCAGATAAAACGATAGAAATTCGAAAAATAAAATAAACGAGTTACAGAGAAAAAAATAATCACCTCCAACAGTAACATTTCTTCATCAGCATTCCAGTCGGGAGTAATGAGAGGAAACGACAGAGTGTCCTATACATATCACGAATTTCCAGTAATATATTATTTAATAAAAAGAGAAATGGCACGAAAAAAAATTAAGTTAAATATCGTTAGATGATGTACTAACCATAACCCGATAAGAATGAGAACTTTTGTGTGGATGGACTTCAGCCCCGACTGAGAAGCACTCTACGCATAAGTCGAAATCAGAACACACGGCACATTTCATACGAATTCGCCCTGTAATGTCTTTGTTGCAATAGTTACAATGGTACAGTGCCCCTTTTCCGTCTGTGGTTCCTTGCCCTGAGTAATCAAGAACACGACACAAAAATAAATATCTCGAATTTTGCAGAATCCAATCAGACAAGAACAGAAAGTCGGAAACTATATAGCATCACTTGGCGAATGACTCAATTCTTGAAGATATATACAAACAATATAAGACCAATGAACAATGATTTTTTCTTTATGTGCCGTATGCTGATTTTTTTCTATTGAGATATCGAAATCTAAGGTATGATACAGATCCATTTACGAAATGTCAATTTAACTTGTAAGAGAAGATATGTAACCTGTCGAAGAAGATTCAAAATTTTCTCCACTAGATGCATTCTTTTTTCTCCTTGATCTGCCAAGAAATACAGAGTATGTCCAATTAAAAGAAAAATACAATTTCCGACATCACTCGGGAACCAAATGAAATTAGTGAAAACAATAGAGTAAATGTTGAGACGAAATTGAGATTGACGGAGTATTGGATTCGGTAATGAAAGTTAACATACTCCCACATACTAAAAAGTTCATTATACATGAGAAGGCAAAACATAAATTACATAAAAAACGGAAAAGCCAAAACAATAAAGAAAATGCAATCTACTGCCAAGAAATATAGAGTATGTCGAATAAAAAACACGATTTCCTACATAACTCCAGCCTAAAAAACTCAAGAACCGAACGAAATTAGTAAAGCAATAGCATATACGTTGAAACGAAATTGAACTCGATACTGAAAGCTAACATACTCCTACATACTAAAAATTCCATTGCAGATTATGTAAAAAAACGAAAAAGCCAAAAACCATAAAGAAAATGCAATCTACAGCCAAGAAATACAGAGTTATTTCAAATACAAAACACGATTTCCTACATAACTCCAGCCAAAAAAAACTCAAGAACCGAACGAAATTAGTAAAGCAATAGCATATACGTTGAAACGAAGTTGAACTCGATACAGAAAGCTAACATACTCCCACATACTAAAAATTCCATCGTAGATTATGTGTAAAAACGAAAACCAAAAAGATAAAGAAAACTGCAATGTTACATGTCATGATCAGAGCTAGAAGGATTTTCTTCATGATCCATTTCCGAGAAATTAAGAGAAACGAGAAAAAACTTTAATCAGATAAGAACAGAATATTGGGAATTCAATTTCATTCCATCCTTTTATATACACTTGAATTCCTATCAGTTGAGGTAACTGCTAACTCACTATGGCTAACTGAACCAACTAACAAACTCAGTAACCGCAAATCCTAACAGTACAGTAGCATTATCAAACACTATACTAATTACCATTTCGCCCCAATTTGAATACAACGGTATAATATGCAGCCACTAAGAAGTAAGAACTCTCGCAATTAAGAAAAAACCCCAATAAATACGAAAAATTGAAAATTGAAAATTAGAAATCAAACCTTTGACTGGGATCTTCTCCACCATGAAAATTTCCACGGGAGCGACCCATTGATCGGCCGATTAAAAAGAAAAAAAATTCACATAATTTATATAAAAATAATTGTTTTTTTTTAAATTTACTCTTAATTGATCTTTATAATTCCAAAACGAGGATAATAAAATTTCAATTTCAGGTGCTTAATTTGAGGAAAATATATATGCTTCGAATTCCTAAGAACCCTAATTTACACGAACAAACTATGCGCTTTTCCAGTTCCTTCCATTTCTTTTTTTCTTTTTTCAATTTTAATTTTCGTATCATTCGTTGACTTTCACGTTTAGTCAAATAATACTATATAAAGATATTTAATTTAGGGCTAAATACAGTTTGCACCCTTAAACTATAAGGGTGGTAACACTTACCCCTTAAAGTTATAAATGTAACACTTACCCCCCTCATTAATGAATTTAAAGGTATAACTTTGACTTTGAATGATGTGGCATTTTTTCTTCCCAAATTGTCCTTCTAGCCATTAAATAAATAATGAATATCTAATAATAAAAAATTCGGCAACTTTGCCAAAACTTAATTTTATTATTTCAATATTGTAAATTTATGAATGAAAAAAATTGAATTTTAGTTTATTTTTGTTTTACCTTGTGTTCATTTGTAGCTAATAAAAAGTTAACGATTATTCGAATTTTAATTATAATTTTATAGTTTATATAGTTATTTTAATGCGTATATGACTCTAATATAATCATCTCACTTTTTACTTTGAGAATCACAAAATGTATTCAAAAGTTAATAAGAAATTATAATTTAAACGTCTAAATATTTAAATATTATTTTATTAAAATTTATTTTTAAGTAACTTAAATAAATTTTCAAATCAATAATTATTATAAAAAAATTGGCCATTTAAGTCTTGAATATTTTTTTCTTGCGAATGTTTAACGTATTTTATATATTTTTTAAAATATTGAGATTTTTATTTATATTAGGCTCTATAGTAATTAAAATATGGAGTTAAACATAAATCAAAATATTTTTTTAATAATTATTATATTTTATAAATTTTAGTTTTTGATATATTATTGAAAATATTTTATTATATATGCATCAATATAATAGCTAGAAGGACAATTTGGAAAGAAAAAATGCCACATCATTCAAAGTCAAAGTTTATCATTAAATTCATTAATGAGGGGGGTAAGTGTTACATTTGTAACTTTAAGGGGGTAAGTGTTACCACCCCTATAGTTTAAGGGTGCAAAGTGTATTTAGCCCTTTAATTTATTTTATTTGCGAGAATTTTATTTATATTCATATTTTTTAAAATATATTTCATTATTATGATTCCGGGCTTTTATATTATGCTCTTAAATATTTACTGGCCCAAAGTTTGATCACACACCAATAAACTTGATCCAAATAGACAATGCCCATTAGGATCAAAAGTAAAATTAGATACCGAAGTGAAAAATTGGAAATTCGGGTATGGCTGGAAATCGGAACGAAATTTTTGAATTCCGTCGATTTCAATCGAAACGTATCTGAATTTGAAACCGCTTTCCTAAGCCGGTTTCCAAATTTCTGATTTTGCATTTTTTCAATTTACTTTGGTACGTAACTGACATTGTATATGAAGTTCCCAAAATTTCCGATAATTTATTCGATTTTAGTTCCGAATATTCAATTTTTCCAAACAATATAATATTATATTATATATAATAAAAAATAACTTGATGATATGTTTTATAATTATAATATAATTTTATGATATATTTTATACAAAGACATAATTACCTAAGGCCTAAATAACTAAAAAACCAAGCAGCCTACTTTTTATCATATTTCGCCCGGTGGACTTGCAAACGATCGGAAAATTTCAAAAATCCGATCATTTCCGTGTTTGGAAAAAAAATATTGTATCTTAATATAATTATCGAATTCCAAAATTCCGTCAATTGCAAGGCATTCAAAAATCAGAACGGATTTTTGAATCCCAATTTTTTGGATCTAGAATTGGTACCAATTTTCAACTTCTAAAAATAATTAGAAAATCCTCGAAAAATCATTTCCAATTTCAACACAAATAAACTTGATCCAAATTGACAATGCCCATTAGGATTAAAAAGGAAAATAGATATGAGAGTCAAGCCCGTGAAAAAATCGGAAGGAAATGTTTGAATCCCGCCGATTTCAATCCGAACATTTCCGAATTTGAATCCGCTTTTTTTTTTTTTTTTTTTTTGGGTTTGCAAAATTCTGAATTTTACATTTTTTTCAATTTTTTGTGGAACCAAACCGAAATTTCTATATCTATATCTATACTATTTCTCTCTATGATAAGATTTTGAGGGTAGTTAGGTAATTGAATTGGTATTTCATTATTTCAATTTTACAATAATAATAATAAAAATTAAATTACATAATGTATTAAAAGAAAAGACCATCATACAGTCATAAACATACAGTGGGAATAATAATTAACTTTCTAATATGAAAATCGATAGATAAACGTTGCGGATGATGCTCCCAGGTGTATTCGGCGTGGCACGTTCAATGATTACATACAAAAGGGAAGCAATATCACTTTCCGGCAAAACATACGCCAACCATTGTATAGCCTTATAGGTAAATTGTGTTTGTAATCGCGCGCGCTTGTTCGTCTTTTTTAAATTGTGATTCGTGTTTGATTATATACGATTTATGGTCATAGTTTTTTACAGCTTGTATAATGGTTAACCATTGCCATAATGAATATGTTATTGATTCATGTAAGGAGTCTTCAATTGTGGGAGAGAAGAGTTTGTTTTGTTTTTTAAGCTTTTTTTCTTTGTTAGGATTGCATAGGGCTGTGTTTGGGACAAAATTAAGAAATTTTGGAATTCGGGATTCCGGATTGATTTTGATGTTCTATTCAATGTTTTGAAACCCGGACCGGACCGGCCGGTCCAACCGGTTTAACCGCGAACCGGTGGGTGGTCCGGTCTGGTTCAACCCAAAAACCCGCAAGGTGCAAAAAACCGGTTGAATAGCTAAAAACCGGTTGAATTACCGGTTCAACCGGAATACCTCAAAACCGGCCAGAACCGGGTTTCTGAAAAATAAAGAGCAGGGGGCTGATTTCTTGCAGTGGTGGTCTGGATCTGGAGATTAAAAGTAAATCTTGTATGCCAATGGATTAAAAGAAGAAAATATAAGAAGAGTAAGCAAACGAAAACGAGAGTTATATGACTGGGTAGCTGAATCTAAGGGCTTGAGTAAGAACTTGGGTGGTCGGAAATAAGAAGAAACTTCTGGTGGCGGCTTGGATGGTGAGTAGATGGAATTGAAAGGATGAGAGAGAGAGAGAGAGAGAGAGAATTTGAACCGAAAGGACAAAAAATTAAAAAGATAAAATATTGGAGATAATTGAAAGAAAGGTAAAATACTATAATGAACAATAAAAATAAATAATAAACAAAGTAATGTATAATTACTTTTGTAAAATTTAAACATATGGCTGCGTATATATATGAATATTTTGGTGTTTGGTATTTATGTTTTATGTATAAATATATATTATTGGATTTTTAATTGATATTTTTTTAATATAATTGTATTAAAACTATATAAAAATAATAAATAGACGAAAAAATACAAAAACCCGGTTGAACCCCGGTTGAACCGGTCGAACCGTGACCCAGTTGGCCGTCCGGTTCGATGTCCCGTCCGGTTTTCAAAACATTGGTTCTATTCATGTTTTACATTACTAATAACTCGGTGTTTGGTGAATACACGATTAACCTTTGGAATTCGGAATTCAAAACGGGAAATTTCATAATTTTAAGGGATATAGATTTTATTTTTTCTTCACTAAACCATCTTCTGCCGCAATGATTATCAATTAACTGCAAGTTTTTCTCACTTTAAATTATTGCTTTAGACAAAAAAGAAAAAAACGGAACATTTTTATTGAATTCCTAAAATTCCGAAAAAATTGATTATTTCTGAATTTGGACAAACTAACGTAATTTCCAAAATTTTCGAGTTTCCGCCGTTCCGAGGCATTCCAAAATCAGGAAGGATTTTTGAATTTCGATAGTTTTGGAACGAAATTCAAAACCAAATTTTAACTTCTGAAAAAATCTTTTTTTTTTTTCAAAAAAATCATTTCCGACCCGTTACGTCTGATTTTCAACCCAAACTAACACTAGAAAAAGTATCTTCAAATAATAAAAATAAAGAGTATTGTCAAAAAAAAAAAAAAAACTGTTTGGTAATGGTATATAAATATGGTTACAAAAGTATTTTTCTATTACCAAAAAATAATTTTTTTGTAACGAGTACATAAAATAGCTACAAAAGTGAGCAATTGTTACGAAAACTTTTATTAGTGACAAAGAAAAGCTTTTCATTACAAACTGTATAATGTTGTGACAAACCAATCAAAGAATCTTAGTGACATATAATTACGTTATTATTTTTCTCAAAAAGAAAAAAAAAACCTTATTACAATAGTCATAGACTTTGTGTTCTTGAAATACTCATATTGCAGTTATTTAAAAAAATATACCTTTTTTTCACGTATTTATTCTGGTTTGATAGTCTTGTAAATAGTACTTCTCATTCACTACTTTCTTTAAGTTCTCAAGTTATTAGCAAAACTCAAATTACAAAAATAACATATTTATTGACAATTATATTTGTCATATATAGTATTTGTGACATGATCGTTATTGGATTATAAAATATAAATATTTTGAATTTTTAGTATTAGTAAGGAAGATAGTGTTCATAAGAAATTTTTGTAACAATATTATTTATGATATAAATAAATCAAATGAATATTAAAAGCATGTATTGGTGACAAATGAGTCTTTTCTAACAATAAAAAATTGTTTAGTGAGGATAACTTTGTTACTTGTAATTGACCTATTGCAACGAAGGGTTTTTTGTCACCGCTTTTCGTAACGAATTAGGGATACGTGTTATTAAAACTTCCAGCGTTGGGCTTTAGAGGACAAACAAGGTAACGAAACAAAATCGTTACAAAACGTTTTCATGATGAATTTTATCCTAGAAAAATATTTGTTTTCTAGCCGTGAACAAGTAAATATAAAAGATTATCAAATTAATTCAGTTAACACGACACGTGAAACGCACGTGCAGCGCACGTGCACCTATCTAGTGTATATAAAATTTCCAAAATTTCTGATTTTTTTAATTCCATTTTAGTTCCGAATATTATTTTGTTGTTTTCAAAATATATAATATTTTATATTAAATATAAATAAAAATAATTTTATGATATGTTTTAT